GAAAGTGATAAAACCCCTTTCAAATAAACGCTATGAATCTATAAATGGTAGACATATTTAATATCAATAAAAGCATTAGTCTGTTAGATTAATAAACGCTTAGAACTGTTGTATACATTTCTGGAGTGGCTTTATGCTTTAAAAAAAAAAAATCGGTATTGTTACTCATTAAAGTGGTTCTTATAGTAATAGAGGAAAATGTTTGGGGAAGTATTTATTTTATTTATGGGAAGGGGTCCCCCTAAGATATTTTGCCTTATGGTTCAAAATGTCTCAATCAAGCCCTGCCTAAACCTAACCAATTCCAGTCAAAAACAACTATTTTCTTCACTACACTGGTACATATTTCTTAAAATTAATAAGAAAAAAAAATCCTAGAAAATGTGGGTAAACGTAAATTTTAGAATGTAGACTATAAGAGCAAAATCAGTTAAGCCAACTGCATACTTTTTAATGCATAAAAACATAATATTATAAACTTGGATTCGGAAGAATCCGGTTTCTAATTATTATTGTAAGACTGGTCTTGAGGGGAAAATGTATTACCAATAATAGCAATGAATATCCTTTAATGGCAACGGTCGTTTATCGAATAAATTGGAGGCCAAGCGATAGATGTTTGTGCCATCGGTTTAATGAGGCTAGGCTTTTAGGGATTTTATAGCCGGAGGTAATAAAGTAGCCCTCCTTATGTCGGGCGGATTGTTTGCTTTTAATCTGGACCTCGCACGTCATCAATTAAGACAATAAACCGTTCGAGAGAGACCATGTTTGCCCTGGCCGCGCCACCGTCTCTCATCCTTTTACTACTTATTATATAGGGCCGTGTTTATTTTCTTACTCATCTGGGGTATTTTTTTTTCTTTCATTAACCGCCGTACATGTCACTGAAGCTATTGCAAACTCTAATCAGATTTAACCGTTTTGGCGTGAGTAAATAACACTAAGCACGGTTGTGGCGCACACGAGATAATAAAATGTTTAACGTTTTCGCAGTCCATAGTATATTATATTACTATCAGCAAGGCGAACGACAAGAAACCTCTGTGTTGACCGTTCAATAAATGATATTAACATTATTGCCTTGACGATAAATCCTGCCTCGTTCTTCTTAACTATTGTCCGAATAATCATTTCGTTGTACTTTTAAGTTTTCCATTATAATCAGAGTTTACTGATAAATCGGGGTTAAAATCTCAAGCGATATACTGCAAACCAACATAATATAAAGATTAGTTTGTTTTTTATAATAAAAATACACAGTACTCAGTAGATCCGATTTTTTACAGGCGTAAAATAAATTCTATTGATTCCTACTCAAGCCCCCTTCTACACAAACTCATAGGAGACCATACTTGATATTTACAATATATATAATATATGAAAGTAATAATGTAGTTATAGCCTTTAAAAGTAACAGTGTACTCCACCATGCAGAGAGGGTGAAAATCAACCTTGAATTTGTTCTAGTGACCCCTATAATATCAAAATGTGCAGTGTTACTCTTATTATTACGGCAAATGACGGACCTACAAACGAAAGTGACCCGTTGGAAATAAACACGGGTATTGTGTAAATAAATGATTCCAAGGGCAAACACAGTGATCCCTTTTTATTGAGCATAATAATTGGTTCAAGGATATTATCAAGGATGTACTATTATTATTATATAGCGTTTTATGTGTTGCACTGTTAAACGGCACCGTGCCACATGTATAGGCCATACCAATTGTCACACAATAACTGTGTTTAGGTCCACGAGACGTCATACGATGCGATATAAATACTAGAACATGTACAATACATATAAACACTACTAACAGACAAACGTGTCACAAAATAAATAATAATGTCAGCTCGGAAATATTGCAGTAAAAGGTGTAGATATTTATTTATCAATTCATGTACAAGATATCTTACCAGTTAAAAAACCTAGCATAGTGATATCGGGGAGGACAGAGGTCACAGGTTTTTGGGAATGATTATCATTCAAAGTGATGAAACCGCTTTCCAATAAACGTTTCGATGTGAATCTCTAGATGATAAATTACACATAATAAGTATAAGTAGAGTTTTTTATTGCAATAAAACTATTGCATAATTTTTTTAATTCTAATTGATTTAGATGTTTGTAAAATACTTCGGAAGAAATGCACTTAAGTAATCTTAAGTGAGCAACTTAATTGTTTTGTCTTAAAAATATGTACGACAATTTGTATTATATTGTTTTAAAAAGTTAGGTATAGAATTTTTTTAAGAATTTTGATTCAAGTTATTACTATTTGATTAAATGTATAGTCTAGTGCACTCTGTTGTAGCTGAGAGTTGTGCATAGTGTTTACCCACGATAATATTTTGATTATTAGGGTAGATACAATTAGGGTTAATTGTGTTAATTGCCATTTTCTGTCTTTCCTAACAACTCGTTATTGCTTTTGTTACCAATGAACAAACCGACATGGTTAAAATATTTTTTTTGTACCGACTGACTTGACGGTTAATTCCTTTACACATAGAAAACTGTAAATTTAATACGATCAATGATTTTTTTGTTCAATAGAAAAAAAGCTTCACTACAGATTTTTGAGAAATTCATATAGGTGTGTTGTTTTGATTATTCGAGGAAACAAAAAATTTAACATTCATCAACTGTGTTTGACTGTGTTTTTTTAAATATATATGGTTTTCATTGGCGAGGAGCGACCGGGTGTAAATCAATTTTCACGTTTAAATGTAATATGTGTCCAATTAAAAGAACACGTATACTGAGGACAATGCATTAATTCCCATAAATACATCAGCGCTGATTGGAGTGTTAAACATTAGCTGTGGTTATAGTGTGCTTCAAGATATAATGATTGTACCGACTACACATATAAAAAACATATATTATGAACCAGGTTATTTCAAAACATTAATATGTATACCTTTTTTGGAGTTGTTTTGAACTATTTTAATGAGAATACTTGTTCTAAAAAAGTACCTATGCACATTAAAAAAATAATGACTGCCAGAAAATGCATGCGAACGTTCGCACGATTAATTTGAGTCACGAAAATCGTATAAAAAACATGTTTTCTTGATTCGTTGGACCGACGCCATTTTATAAGTTTAATTTAAATGCACGGTCCCCTCTAATTTGTTCTACGTTATCATACTATATAGTATATAGCTTATATGTTTCAACCAATAATATATTTTCAATCCGGTTTTTTCAACTTGGGTTCATGTGCAAATTTGTACTCTAAAATTCTTATAAGTCTTTTCATTAAAATATATAGAATACATACACATTGCACGATGCTGTCTTTTTCTCCGTACATACTTAAAAATAAATATAAAATAAAAATGATTTGGATTTTATGTAATTAGGATAAAACTATCTAAAGTATCGCCTGACTCAACGCTTAAGATGGATTTGCCGTTGTTAGACCGATGAAAAAACCATTCAATGCAACTGACTGACATCAAGTAAATTATCAAAACATGATGTTCAGTAAAAATGCCTAAAATTATTTTACCTTTAAAACTGTTACATGTATATCAATATATTGCCTATAGTAATATGTCACATATCTTGTACGATTCTGTGTAAATTGTCGCCAAGTAAAAAAAGCAAGTGTTTTAACTTAAGCCTTAAAAATATGATGATATAGGAACTAAATGATAGTAGGTATGTAATGTGATTATTATGTAAATACTATCATGTACCTAATCTAAATAATATACAGCGTTTCCAAAAAATAATATCTGTGTAAATTACCGTTACCTTTAAATAACATCTGTATAGAATAATTATATTATATTATATATTATACCTGTTATATTATTTACATATTATGTAAAAATCGAAATTTAGTTTTTATGTCGGAAGGAGGAAAATCAGGCTCAAACGTCTAGTTATATTTATTCTAATAATAATCAGTGACTTTAAATGAACTACGAAGCAAGCTACTAAGTCTAAATTTTAAATAACTACTAAACCACTTTCCACTAAACCTATTTTTCAATATCTCATAGCCTATAATACCTCTGAAGACATCCCCTCCCCTAATCCGTGCTTACATGGTTACATAGTATTTAATCTAACTATAGGTAATGTACTTTTTTATAAAGAGACAACTGTCAGAGACAGTTTATGACTTATGACAAGTACAAACGAGAAACCACTCATCAGCTTCGCTAAACAAATGGTTAATCATTGGTGAAACTAAGAGGTGCTATAAATATTCAAAACACTGAAGTATAAATTAGGATTATTCAATTTTTACATCTATTCAACAAATCCCTCGTTAATAAAAATCTAAAAATGTAGGTGTTTTGAACAGCATCAACTTTAAGTTTTTCAATGTCCCAGCCTTCCCCCCTCCCCCCTTTATAACATTCTGCCAATGGGCGAAAGTGTTGTTTTCATACTAGCTTACCACTAAGACCCAACACCGTAAAGCACGAGTATTTTGAAAATTTTAAATTGATTATTTAATAATAGTATACTTTATAGCATGAAGCCTTCAATCGTTATGCTTTATAGATTAAACATGCATAGATAGTACACGAGCACATGAATTACGGCACCCGTAATGGTAACGAACTGAATGCAACGAATATATTATGGTTTAATATAATATGTAGGTAGATTTGTGGCCAAATATCAGTTTTAATAACCATGAGGACGATGAGAACGTGTAAATTAGATATAGATTTAATATAGATTTTAGTATAAAATCGTCGGACGAAAAACTGTTTGTCCGGTCGATTCGCTTATTTGATGTTTTTTTTAAATAAGCTAGTCATAACCCTAGACATGGACAGGGATGGGAAAGTTCTGCCTGTTAAAAGGTTAAAAGAAGTACACGATATGCCGTTGTATGGTAAATAGTGTGCCATCTAGTGAGCATTCGGTGCACTATACTCTTTTTCTATCAGCCATCATATTATCAGTCGTGGTGTTATCAATTAAATAATGTAAACACGCCGACAGGTGCATCGACATTCGACACATCAGCAACCTGTAAGCGGCCAACAAAACTGCCACACACTCAAGACTGATGCCAACAACCATTTTCTACATTTCGATGTAGTTCATCCACATTCACTCTGTAGACTAGTAGGTGTTCGTGTGGCACTTTGGTTGTCGGTTGTTTCGAAATTTAGTAAGTGTCGTTCGTTTCTTCGGTTTTGGAACTCAAAGTACTCCTCGAACTTTTCTAAGCCACAACCAACTCTGCTGTATCCGATATGGCACCAATTAAAGGCAGAAAGTCCGCTAACAAGAACTTACCAGTGTTAAGCCACGAATTCATAATCCAGAATCATGCCGATATTGTATCGTGTGTCGCAATGGTCATCGTTATTGGCCTTATGATACAAGTAAATGTTTAAACTATAATAATTATTCAAATATTATGTTCAATAATTTTAACTATTTTGTTTGTTGATTTTCAGCTAACATCACCACTGTCCTACTTGTTTGTCGCCCTACAATACGGAGAATCGACTAGCAGCAATAAGAGCATTCTAACATATGGTACAGGAATTAAAGATCTGTTTGCAGTTTTCTTTTATTTCCTCATTTGCATTATATTCCACGCAATCATTCAAGAATATGTGTTGGACGTAAGTACTTTTTTGTTATATTCTACTAGATCTAAGGATAATTGATTCTTGAATAATGAATAATGCATCTAAAGATTATTCTGATCATCTTATCCTTAAGTACTGATTAAAAATGTTATTATTATTATGTTTCTAATTTTCAATCATTTAAAATAATTACAAATTTCGTTTTTATTACTCAATTTATAGAAAGTCAGCCGCAAATTACATTTATCTAAATCAAAGAATTCCAAGTTTTTCGAGTCTGGACAGCTAATTGCATTTAATATAGTATCTTTGGTTTGGGCATTGGATATTATTGTCAAGTATGATGAAATGTGTAATGTAAAGTGTGATCAAATATATAATGTGTTGCGTATGATTTTTTTCAGAGAAAATTGGTTGGTTGACTTTTCATCGTTATGGATTGGATACCCTCATAGTATATTATCTTTCTCAATGAAATTCTTTTATATTATTCAATTAGCCTACTGGCTTCATATATTACCTGAATTATATTTCCAAAAAATTAAGAAAGAGGAGATGTTCAGCAAAATTAAGTATTCATTATTGTACACTGCATTCGTATCAACCATATACATAACAAAGTAATAAGAAAAAACTATTTTCTATTAATTTATAGTTAAAAATAATAAATGTGTTATTTATAAATATTAATTGTTTATAGCTTTAACCATGTCGGTGTTGTAGTTCTATTATTGCATTACATTTCTGGAACGGCGAATCATGTTGTCCAATTAGTTGATATCATGGAAAAAGAAGAAGAAAGTAAAAAAGTTAAACGTAAGTATAAAATGGAATAATACACTTAATGACACTACACACAAAAACTAATATGTTTCAGTTAGCTAACTGAAAATGACACTTCAGTAAACAATGGGCTATAGTATATTAGTTTTTGTAAAAAACGTCCATATATGCTTTGTAAATTTGGCTGGTAGATTCTATGCAGTATTCCGAGCTGATTTTTAAATGTTTTTTTTGTGTGTTCTAATAATACTTTTTTTGTTGTTTAAAGTTGCTCAAAACGTCAACAACTGGATATTCCTTGCTGTACAAGTGCTAACGTTAATAATTTCACAAATCACGCTGTGTTTCGGTCTAGCTGGTGTAGAATACAGTGGAGAATTAAGAGATTTCAATACACCTTTGTTTAAGCTTTTGGCATCTGTTAGTGCTTTAGCCATTCAAGCATGGATTGTTTATGAATTTTTCAATTCAACCAATAGCAGTATTAGTATCTCATTAGGACTAGGTAAACCAAAACCAAAAGTGAAATCTAACGAGGACAGTAACAAAAAACAGAAAAGGGCTGGTAAGTGTTTAAAAATACACAGCTAAACATATGCTCACATGTAATATACTTGATAATGTTTTATTACTAGCTAACCGAAAATTTAACGAGTTGACTGAAGCCGATCAAAACATGAAGAAAACAATTAAGGCTGAAGGCAAAAAAAAAGCTAAACCTGTGAAAAATTTGAAATAATTAGAAAACTCTTTGGTAATTTTTAAGTGCAATCTTTGACTAATATGTGTAGAATCTAAGCTGATTGTATATTTGTGATTTGTACGTACAAATCAATAACACTTAATTTTTGTGTTCTAAATACTTTTAAACAACTGTTAATTTTCAATCTGATTTTTACTATTACAAATTATTATCTATATTATTTTCGATTTAATGTTGTGTGTTGTTTTAATTTTATTTCATTTTACATAAATATTGTTTTGTAATTTATCATATTTTTTTTTATAAATATAATAAAATCCATATAGTTTGTAAGCTCTAATAGATTGAATATTAATATACCAATATTTTATTATACTTGTCTATTAATATGCCCAATCAGTTAAGTTGTAAATACATTTATTATAGGTTAATGTATAATATGCCCTATTACAAATATTTTAATTAATTATACATTTTGTTTAAATATATTTCGTATGTATTAATTATAAATTCAGTATATGGCGCTCTTCACTATACCATACCATATTTGTAATTTTGAGTCCATTTCTTATTTATTAGTTACTACATACCTATTTAGTTTTAATATTATTACTTAACTTTGTTAAACAATTTACTATTTTATTGTTAAAATGTTAAAATCAATGTCTCATCAATTCAGTCAATAACTAATTATAGAAAAACATCATTATATAAACAACAATTATACCCATAAATATAATAAAATTATAACTATATTAAATATTTAAACATTATTATGATCATTTGTAAAATTCTATTTTTGTTTCAAATAAAATGTTTATAAATCGTAATATTATCTGTTTTTTTTTAATGTTCAATAATATTTTAGGACTACAAAGATTTAAAATGCTGTATACTTTTTTAATGTTAATTTATTAATTTAGGTAGCGATAGTTTATATGCATGATACAAATAGTTGGGAAAACCTGAGCAAAACTTGTGAAGTTTATAAAATAATTATGTAAAATACTTTGTAATTTTAATAGTATTAAAAAGAGGTAAATTGCAATGATACTTGTGATTCACTAAATTTTAACTTATATTTTTTTTGTACATACCTGCAAGAATTCTGAAGTGCAAGTTGTCTGGCAAGCACAGAATAGTTAAATCAGAATGAATGGTCACTGATAAAAAATTACCAATTGGTCATATTCAAGCTCTAATTATTTAGAAATAGGTTATTCATAAAAATGGGTCGTGCGCAGGCACCTAAATTACTTTATAGATTTTAGTGTACTTAAGAGGATTGCATGCAGTCTGTTTTTTTAAGAGATACGAGTTCTTTGGCAACTTTACTAGGTTATGTAGGAAACAGATTTTTGTTTTTTGCTTTTCTTTTGTAAAAAATTGTAAATTTATTTATTTAATTACAAGAAACTGTAATTTTTAAATGAAAATCGGCTTCCTACATAACATAGTAAAGTAGCCAAAAAACTCTTATCTCTTTACAGAATTTATATATATATATATATATAGCCATTTGTCTGGCTTTTTGGTCAAAAATAAATAAAAACGTCATTTACTCATAGAAAAAATTATTTTAATTAAAAATAATACCTTGAAGATTGTACAAATTATCCGGTAAATTAATTGACATGGTCGAAATTTATTAAAACCTTTTTTTTAAATATTGCCTATACAAAACTCCTTAAAAACTGACCAAATCCATTCCCCCTCTCGTTTATATTTCCAAAGAAATGATTTCATTCTATTTTACCTAGACTTAAATAGTTTTCATGTCAAAATTAATCCGTCCCGGTCTGGATCAATGATTGGAAATATACATAAATCAATTGTGGTCAAAACCTACTATTTAGTCAGATTTGACTCTTTTTGACCAAACACCGAACATTTTTAAATATTATGACTCAATAAAGATTGAATTTTTTTTATACAAATTTGATATAGCGAAATTAGAAGATCTCTACCTACAGATAATGACGCGTACTCTCATACAAGAGAGTAAACGGAATGATCTAACTATAAATGAAGAGAAGAAGAAATTTATGTTAACATCACGCAAAAATTATCTACAGCACAGTTTGCAGGTAGAAGACATGGAATTCAAAAGAGTAGATTCCTTTAAGTCCTATTACGTGTAGAAATAAATGAGCAGGGTAATAATCACAAAGTGATTCGGATGAGAATAAGTGCTTCTGTGCCTTAAAAACAATTTTTAAATCCAGACTAGTGTCAGTAACCAGAACCAAGTTGACTCTATGATCCGCTGTATGCATGTGAAACCTGACCAACGACAAAAACTGACGACAAAAGATTGTCAGTATTCAAAAGAAAAATTCTACGGAAGATATTTGGCCCTAAGAGGGACCGGAACACGGGAGAATCTGAACGAAGGACTAGTCAAGAAATAAGAGTTATGCTAGAAGATGCTGACATAATTGTGATACTGAAAAGTAAAAGACTGAATTGGGCAGGCCATTTATGGAGAACATTGGGTAGAATAATAAAAAAAAGTCGTAAAATGGACACCTGGAGACAAAAAACCGCTTGGTCGTCCAAGCGATGGGACAGAGTAAAGAAAAATATGGATATTGGAGAATAGGTAATATATAGGTGCCTGATAGGGATAGATGGAGAGAAGTTATGATTGTGGCGAAAGACTTGAATTTGGTCTATGCTAACCAATATTTATTTCACTTGTTTTTTAATTTATAATAGTTTTACAATCGAGAAAAACATAAATGTCTGTTCATTAGTACTTTCGATTCATAAATTACCTAGTTAATAATATTTATAGTAGGTATGTGTATGTCAAATAAATAGGTTTTAAAAAAATTGCACTTAATTGTAAAATTAGAGAGATATTTTACCTATTATTCGGAAGTTTTTCAATTCCGTGGTACCATGCTTGATTTGAAAGGGTTAGCACTTATAATTGAACACATTGCACTAAAATACTCGGCTTTATATCGAATCTATTACGTTTATTACTACCATTCTACTTAATTAAAATATATAAGCTGTTTGATATTATTTACAAGATCAATAATTATTTATTTTATACATATTTAACCCTATTACTCACTGACCCCCCCCCCCAAAAAAAAAAGGAGGGGCTGCTCACAGCTGACTAATTCTGCCATCGCCGGTTCCGGCTCGACAAGAAGAAGACCTTTTAAATATATATATATGTATATGGTATATTATTTAATAATATCGTTTTACTATTTTTGTAAAACAACTTTCTTACATAAAAGTTAGGTACTAGGTATTCGGTTTTCGCAAGATAATAATTAAACAGTTATAAATCCTAAACATCGCATTATAGCGGTTTAGGGAACGTTAGAAAGCGGCTAAAATGACCAAAGCAGGAACTCTGGGCACGTCTATTGATCCCAACAACTACTGACATAATAATGTATACAACATCCTTACTCCCTTCTACCACCACAAAAAAGTAATAATTATAATCACACTGTTATAATCTTTAAGTTTATATATATATACGTATAAAATAACACTTTATAATAATATTTTGTCTTGTAAAACTGAGCACGCTGGGAGGGATAATTTTGATCAATACTTTTCATAAATTAATTTAGCAACTTAATTTTTGATTTCTCTACATCTGAATTATGATATTTAATCAGAATTTATCTCATATTTAATTTAAATATTTTTTTGATGATTATTGTATTTTATATTGTATCATCAATAATATAGGTATTAACTATATGGGCAAAATATCAATAAGTACTAAGTAATAGAGGTATGTTATTAGTAAGCGTAACTACGAGAATCTAACATCGACGTTTCTATGGAAACTCCAGAAACGTTATAGTACTTATAACTAAATTATTTTGATTACATCTCTAGAGTTAAATATGATTAAATACAGGATATTATATGAAGTTATTAAAATTATATCTAAGATATTATCCTCCAGGTAATAAAGTTAGAATTCCATAGTTAAGTCTAACATACGTATTTGTTTACCTGATCATATTTGTTTAGTACCTGATTAGCCCTATAAATTAATATCTTTGTTCTTTTAGGTATTATTTTGGAATACTTCACAAAAGGAAAGATAAAACGGAAAATTTTAGATTTATTGGACATAGAACAAGGGTGAGAACATTTTATTACAAAATTTGAAAAAAAAAAACTAACAATGAAAAAAAAATTTTGGTATAATAGGACTAATGTTGAGATTTTAGCTGCTCAAATTGCAAGTAAAGAACCGTTGATTTCTCCTAAAGTATTACCTAAGCTTTCAGGAATACTACAGAAAATCAAAGATAATTCATTTAAGAGCGAACTGTCAAATTTAAGTGTTCGTGGAATTCTGAAAGGTCATTTATTGCCAATAACTAATGTGTCTATTGACAAACACGGAACAATGTATCATCAACTAAATTCATATTTAATAAGAAAAAATATAAATATTCTATTTCATATTGAATGTATGTACTTGTTTAGATGTGCTACTGGAAGTTATGATCGAACGTGTAAAATTTGGAATATTTCAACCAGTAAAGAATGTCAAACACTTAAGGGTCATGAAAATGCAGTGTATACGGTTTCATTAAACATCCCAAAAAGGCTAGTAAAAAAAAATTTATGTATTATAATGATTTTATTTTAAGTAGTTTATAAGACGCAATAATTTTAAATTGGGCTCAATATGAATAAAATAGAATTGGTATTGACTGTATTTAGAGTTTTGACTGGGTCTTTTGACAAAACAGCCAAAATATGGTCTATTGATAATGGTGATGAGTGTTTATGTACAATGTATGGGCATACGGGGGAGATTGTTGCGACAGATATTAGTGACTGCAAACAAATAGTGGCTACATCTTCTATGGATAAAACCACAAGATTATTCAGTACTGCAACAGGTTAGTAATAACTAATAATATAAAAGTTAGTGTAATATATATATCATATGAATAAAAAAATATATATTGTGTAGATTTGACAAATTTTTAATATTCCTTCTATTACTAGGTCAGACATTAGAAGTATTAAAAGGGCACATAGGTGAAGTTATTGTGAATCAGTTTAATTATGATGGTTCTAATATAATAACAGGATCATTTGATGGTACGATTAAACTTTGGGATACACGTGTTGCCAAGTAAAAATTGTATATTTCAATTTTAATATAGATAGCTATAATCATCTGTGCCAACATTATAAAATGTATTAACTATTATTTATAATTTAGATGTATAACAACTTTAACTGGACACACAGCAGAGTTAAGTACATGCTGTTATAACTTTGAATTCAGTACAATTGCCAGCGGGTCATTAGACAATACAGCCAAAATTTGGGATTTAAGGACTAACAGTTGTCGTACGACTATCATTGGCCACACAGATGAGGTTATATTGTTTTTTTATGTTGGGAATTACAATACATTTTTAATGAATTGGTTTTAGGTACTAGATGTTTCTTTTGATTTGGTCGGGCGTCGTTTGGCTACAGCTAGCAGTGATTGTAATGCTTGTGTTTGGGACGTAAATAATGGGGACTTGATTTCAGCTATGATAGGCCATTCAAAAGAAGTATCAAAGGTATTTAAAATGTCTATTAGTAGTTATCCGGCAACGGACTGACGATCTGTCCTGGATAGCGAATTTGTCAAGAAACTATCTCATTATGGTAGTGTTGGGCCTTCATGGCCAGTTAAGCTGCATGAATTAGTAGCTAAACTATCATACACATTAACAGTTACACAATTTCACATTTATTCAGGTATTTTGGGAACCAGCAGGAAAACATTTATTGACAGCCTCACAGGATAATAGTGCTATGTTATGGAATACTGAAACAGGAGAATGTACTCAAAAACTTGAAAAGCATTCTGATCACGTTTTTTCAGTAAACATGAGTTATCACGGAGATGTAATTTTAACAGCATCTAAAGATAATTCTTGCTGTATTTGGAAACCATAGATATTTACTAATATAGATAGCCGTTCTAGCCTTTATTCTAAAACTAGGTAAACAAAACATAATAGAAGTAATAAAATATGTTATTTAATTTAACTCAATTAAAAAAACGGGTTATTTCAACGTTTTGTTTACCGAGTCTATCCAGCATACGGCGTTATGTTTATATAAAACACTTAAATATTAAAATAATACTGTACATTAAATTAATATTTGTACATAATTATATATTGTATGATTATTAAACAATTAAAATGTATAACAAAATAATTTATTTTTGTTAATTCTTTGAGCTTTAGGAAATATATTGCCACCCTTGGATGGATCCATTATTTGCACTAGATAATAATGTATTATCACCACACATTGGTAACCATAAAGCACAACTTGTTGTTATCTTATTATGACTAGAATATTCACTTTCTATAAACAAATGACCTTCGTGTTTGAATTTGAGTTTCACGTTTTCGTCACCACTAGACTCTTCTTCAATAATGTATACGTTTTCATCAAAACCACTAACAACGGTTCTTTTCAAATTACCCGGGTCTAAGTTAATGTTTATATCATTATTACATTCTGGAAATAAATTTCTTTTGTATATTTTTGGAGTTCTTAAACATCTTAAGTCATATACAACCAAATCTCCTGCATTTGAAATTATTTGAAAATTATTACTCGTAGTTTCCTCTAAATTCACGTAAGCAGTGTTTGAAAACCATTTGGCCATATTAGCCTCTAAATTCAAACATAAATGTCAAACCACAATATCATTAGCTAGAAACAGATGGGCGCATTAACTAGACCCTAAACATTAATGAAGATAAAATAAAGTTTTCTCGTTAAATATTATATTATGTAGTTTTTTTTTGTGTATTACACACATAGTATTTAAACATTTTATTATACAATTAATTTATAAATGTCTTAAAGTTTTCATATATTGTAATATTATGTGGATAATTTTCAGATGTATCCATGTCTTAAGTTTTCTACTGACGTTTTAGACTGTGTCCAAGTCCAAAACGTCAGCGGAAACTGAAGACATTGATAGATCTGAAAATTATTCACATATAATTAAAATAATTACATTTATTTTACCTTCATTGAAACGTTCTGTGGTACGATGGCATAAGTTGATATGCCAATTTTTTAACTATAAGGGAAAAAAACATAGTTTTTAGACATCAAATAAAAAAATGTATTTTGACATAGCAGCAAAATGTATTTTTGAATATTAGTAACCATAGCTTGGTAACAAAAAGCACTCAGACATACCATATTTTAATTAATAATACACTGTCAAACTTCGCTTGATGATTTGCAGCGGGAGGCCGGCAACTTAAGTACCTTATTGTCATCGGTCACCGATCAATGCCACCTGCGTTATGGTAGGGGATGGATGTGCAGCATGGTACACATTTTTGTTGCACGATTGGTATATTCTTAATTTGTACGAAGTATAGTAATAATAATAAATACAGGGTCCGGCAGAAAAAACTTATTGATTTAGGTGACGGACAGCTTTAGGCGTGAAACGGGTACAATAGTGGCGTATGTTGATACGTGCCGTTTTAGTAAACAACATTGCATGGTCAGGAGAGCATTGTGCTTTTGTCGTCAAAGAATTTATTAAAACTAGTGGGTCACCAACCACAACACAGTGGGCCTTTCGCATATTATGCTTTATGCTATGTTGACGAGATCCTGTTCCAGATACCAAAAGAATTAAAAATTGGGTATGAACTTCAAGATAACAGGCAACGCATTGAAAAGGAAACCTCGTGGGCAATCTAGGACTGTAACAGGACCTGAAAATGTGGTTGCAATGAGAGCTTCCAATCGCACAGCCCCCAAGGCGTTCTACAGGGAAAGACGCAGCTGTCTGGCGAATTTCACATCTTAGTGTTTGTAGTATTTTGCATTGAGATCTAAAACCTTCTGTCATCTAGATTTTGCCGATATCTGATATATTAAAAAATTAACATTTTTTGCAAAAACCATGAACCGATATCCGATATTACATATTACCGACTATTGATTATTATTTTTTTGGTATCTGTCCAAATATCAATTTCCAAAAAAAACTGGTACTACTAATATCGGCCGATATTGATACTAATTATTGGTTCTAGTATCGGCCCACCCCTAGTAATTACACCAAAATTGACAAAAAGTGACATACAAAATTATACCATCTTATCACAGAGTTAACATACAGTTTTCATGTTATTAGGTTGATATGTCCCTCTGATTCTAGAAGGACATATCAAATTAAAGATTTTGTTGTTTAATTATTTACCTGGTTGAGGTATGTTAATTATATGCTGGTTATTAGTTATACAGTACATATCAAATGCACCATTGTTTGAATTCAAAACTATTAATTTGTCTTTAGATATAAACTGTGGTACATAATTGTTTGTTGCATCATTTAACTCATCTTTACATACTAATAAACATTTATTATTTTCAATATCAAACAATTTTCCGTTTTGCCAAGTATTTTCTCTTCCCCATACAATAAATGTGTCATTTAAATGATTAATTGCTAATTTTCCAGAGTCTATTTTACTATCAAAAGATATGATTGGGATCATTTGATCTGAAATAATATTAAATTGGCAACAATTATTTATAGAACTAACTAAGCAATGGTTATAATTACAGTACAATCTATTTAAGACGAACCTGGGATAAACCAGAAAATTGTATTAGCCATAATAATTATATTATGGTCTCTGAAAATTGAAATACTTAAATGTTTTATTAAAAAATCAAAACTACTACTTTTAAAGAAGCCACAATTAACTTATTATTATATAAATTTTCTTTTAATGTTATGTCGATTCTGTCTTAGACAGGTTGCACTGTATATAATACTAATTACCTGAGTTATTAGTATTTAATTGGTATAAAATTACATTATTCATTCCTTCTTTAGATAATATTACTTTATTTTTATTGAATATTGTTTTCATCTGTAAAAAAATATAATTAATATATAAAATATAACAAACCAAAAAATTGAATATTGTTACAATATATATTGTATACATTTTTACTGAGGATATCTTCAGTAAAAATTTAAATTATTAAATACTATTAAAAATGCAGTTAAATGCTAAAAAACAAACTTATAACTAGTTATAACATCATATTATAATTTGTTTTTAGATATTAGAATTATTAGGTTATAATATAATAATATTTAATTATAATACCTTACTTACATCAATTAATTTATTGGTAGTTAAGGTGCCACATTTAATTTTCAGATCTCTACTAGTATTTATAGAGTCAGGCTCATTTTCCAATTGGTACAGTTTGTTTGGTAGTTCCAAATTTAATACTTCAAAAACGGTGTTCTCACTTTGTTTGCATGCTAAACATACAGCAGTTGTACTACTTAAATCCATAGCTAGAATGGGTTTATCAATACCAAACATTTGTAACTTGTGGTACCTACAAATATAATCATCCATTGTATAAAATATCAATTACTTATGTATATCAGCGCCGGCGCTAGGTTTTGCAGGGCCAGGGTCAAATCATTCTGCTCTAAAATGCAAAATCCTGTGAGTAAAACCCTCAATTGGAAAATACCTACCCTTTACATCTATAAAGTAAATTTGTCTATTATTATGATTTAATTACATCATTAAATTTAGTTTTAAAAAGAAAAAACAAGCAGGAACTTATTTATTTAAAAAGTGTAAATATTATGTGGTATATGATATTAATAATACCTTATAGTTAATGGTACTGAGTTAAAATTAAAAATTTTTGATTACTTTAAAAAAAAAATATAATTTACATTTGCACCGTACGTTTACAATTACCCCAATAGACCCTTTAGCCTACACTAGGGAACAAAAAAATGTATTTATTTTACGGCATAAAATGTATCTATGGTTTTAGTACACACCTGAACTACACATTCTATAGATTGACCTTAGTTTTCGAGATAAACTACAAGTAAAAAATATCTAATTATTTAGGACCTACCCTCCTTAAGTTGTATTATTTTAAGTATATATAAGCAAAGGTAGTTTTTATTGAATGTGCTTGTTTATTGCATTCTTACTAATCAGACACAGTGGTCTCTCGATTATACAGTCATGTGATAATTATCCGACATGTCCAGTAGACTGATGTATAATGATCAAATAATTAACAAAATCGATAGTCAACTGATTAAGTCCGAATGAACCGATTAGATATTTTAATAATAATTATTTTTATTTTGTTTAGCCCTTCTACAGTCTATTAGTTGGTAGTCATTATCTCATAAACTAGTCAATTCGGTAAAACTGATATTTTTTTCGTACTCAGTAGCTAGAATTATTCTAAATCGAGTCCTATAATATATCTGGCTGCAAAATCACTGTTCCTCAGTATTATATTTTCTTACTTTTTGAAAGAATTAAAAAACCATTCGTCCATAGGATCCTCCACTTCTTCCATAACTAACTTCTTGAATATATAATTACTTACACAAATTATCTAAGTTATAAAAATCGAAGTACAAGTACTTATTTTTTAATTGTTGAGACTTGAGAGTTGACTTCTGTCAGTTTTTTAATTTTTAAGAAATTACGTTTGTGTAGATAACACCATACCATGAATTGATAAAGAGGTTACCAGTAAAATGTTAACTGAGTTGCTTATCCAGTAAAAAAAAGGAGAACTAAAAAGAACCGCAGTAAAGCTATGTTAACGTTGACATGAAACATTTTTAGGCCAGCTTAAACGATTTCACCTAAAATTTGCACAGGCGTTTTTGATGGTTTTATAATACAAACTAAACAACACCGAACACGGTGTGCCGTAAAAACGTGTAAAATACAAATTATATTTTGTTAAGGGGATTGCATGCGTTTGGTTTTAAGGAGTTTTGTATAGGCAATATTTAGGAAAAAAGTTGTTTTTAATAAATTTTGATCATGTCAATTAATTTACCGGTTAATTTGTATAAGCTTCATGGTATTGTTTTTAATTTAAATTATTTTGTCTATGAGTAAACACATATGGTTGAAAAACTTGGCAGTTATTTGAAATTAAAATAATAAAATACATCGCATAGGAAAATAAATTCCCCTGTCAGGTATCTCAGGCTCTAGAACGCATATGGACGATCCAAATGCGGTTATGGAAATGATCATATTTTTTCACACAAAAGTTAGCCAAATTGTCTGTAAATGAGAGTCAAACCGCTGAAAAGCTCTTGAAATTTCTCATAAGGCGTTGCATCCGGCGGTCTTAGGGAAAAAATTAACAATATTATTAAGCCAAATTCGTCTTAAAGCCATCGGTTTACTCATTTTCCACTAGATACAACTGAACTAAAAATATAAAAAATACTATTTGATTCGTTACCGTGGCCCACAGCTTTATACACTTATCAAAATATAATTTGTATTTTACACGTTTTCACGGCATACCGTGTTCGGTGTTGTTTAGTTTCTACCATCAAAAACGCCTGTGCAAATTTTAGGTGAAATCGTTTAAGCTGGCCTAAAAATGTTTCATGTCAACGTTAACATAGCTTTACTGCGGTTCTTTTTAGTTCTCCTTTTTTTTACTGGATAGGCAACTCAGTTAACATTTTACTGATAACCACCTTATTAATTCATAGTATTGGTCATGGTGATAGCAACAAAAATTTAAATCGGGCCAACGATAAATGATAACAGAAATTATTGATGTATGAACTATGATGTATGTTCAAATTTGAATAGCATAAAGTATAACTGTGGAAGTTCTTAGCTGAGAGCAAAGAAAAACTAATTGGTGTAATTATTTAATCTAGTTCTGATGCTCGACTTCTACATCAGGTGATTTTTCATTTAATCTATGCTTCTGTTATATTCGTTTGAAGTGTGGTAAGTTGTATCAAATGGAAGCAAATATTGATAAATGCAATTTATATTTATAGAAAAACCATGCAATAAAAGGGGTGTAAGGTATACTTCTACCATTTTTTGTTCCATATTACTTTTTTAACCCTAGAATACTAACCTTATTTTTAACCCTTTTATTGCTAACCATTCGTCGATTTGAAGAAATGTACATAAATAAATAAAATTACTCCGATTGTTTTCTTTACTTCATAAAAAATAAATATAATAATTTAAATAAATAATAAGTATAATATATTTTGGGTTATTTGAAATCATCCCTTAGAAATTAACCTTCGTCGCATCGATGAACTAAAACAGCATGCATTTTGAATGTGCTACTAACTATTCGTCGATTTGATGATGTGGATTTTGCGCAATCGAAGGTCGACAACTAACTGATTACAATAGAGCTTTTTATTTTAACATTAAATATACTCAACAATATTTACAAGAGATAGATGGAGGGTAGAAACTCATATGACAAACATGCTAAAAATAGTCAGTTAAAAATAATCAGTATTCGTCAAATAGATAAATGGTTAGCGTTCTAGGGTTAATACTTCAACTTATTTTGAGTTAAAAACTAAATTGAAAGTTTATTATTACTTTATTTAAATTTTTAGCTTCGGTGCGGAGCTGAGAAGGTATTATTTTTACAGTGATGTGTTTTAATTTTTGTGTCTAGACCCACGATATCTTATAAACCGCTGAACCGATTTCTCCGTGTAACAATTCTATAGATCAGAAATCATACTTGAAAGGTACTTAATTTGGCCAAACATTTTAAAAAATCACCCCTTCCCCATCAAAATCGAGAAAAACACCCAAAAAATGTACAAATTTTTCAACTTAAAATTACAATGTTCTATTGCTTTTTTTAAAATAGTCGAAAAAGTTCCAAATTTATGTGAATTGTTCTTCAAACATAGTACTATCGATAAACATTAAAAAAACAAAAAAATATCATAAACCCTTTCCCCTAGAAGGGATAGAATTTTTTTCTTTATTTCACTTTTTCAAGCAAAGTTTTAGAGATTTAGATCTGAAAATTAGACCGAAGGTAAATCTAAAATGGAACTCTAACATATACAATTTTCTCAAAAATCTGTAGTCAAATTATTTTTTTATTAAGGAAAACCCAAAAAATAGGGTAAATTTACACTTTGGCCGTAGTCAGTTTCTAGGTTGCTATGTGTGTGTGAATCAACAGTCAACAGGTAATGAAAATATTTTCATTATATTGTTAATTACTATATATGGATAACTATGACAGTACATTTTTATAGACAGACGATTAACCCTTATCGTATCCACCTTGCACAAGACTAAATATTTGAAGTACATTATTGCTGGTCCCACGATATCTTCTAAACCACTAAAACTGGTTTGAACCTAATATCCATAAATTCGCATTGAAGCGTTTATTTAAAAGTGATTTTATCACTTTCAGTTATAATAAAATCTGTAGACCTGTGACTTCTCCGTCTCCACTATGCCCAGACTCCACTGTTCTGTTTTTTTTTTTTTATTTTGTGCTTGATTAATTTATTTATAATTTAGCTCATATGACCTAATCTAGAAATTTGGTAATAATACTAATAGTATATTTTTTTTTTTAACATTTTTAGAACGATGATATGTAATAATGAAAGGCTACAAAATAACTAATTGTATAAGAGACAAACAATTTGGGATTGCTTGCGGCACATTCAATGTTCTTCGCATTAAAGGATGTCAAAAATTAAAGGTAAATTATTGTAAAAAATATATTTAATGTATTAATAATAATAAGCATATTTTTTGACATTTGTGTTGTTTAAGCAGGACTTACTTATTCTATCTTACCTTGTATATTCTTTTTCCATTATCATTTTTCTGCTTAGAAAGAATGAAGCTGACAGCCACTGAGGATGGAATTATAAATATGATTTACCAAAACAATTTTATTTTTATCATTAATAGTTATGATTAATGAAAACTTAACTCAATAGTCAAAGACTAAATTTAGATATGAATGGCATAAATTTTAAATTAACACATTTTAAATGTCTTTAAAAGTGCTTTATTAATATATATATATGTATGGTATTTTTAAAATTGTTTTAATAAAATAAAATTTTCATGGTTTTAAACAAATATTTAAAAAATTTTAGATACATGATGCAAATGTAACAGTAATATTGCAAGATGGTACAGTTATTTATGATGAAGAATATTTTCAAACATTGCCCAGCCAGACATTATTTATTTTTAAATTAAAAGGAGAAACTTTTCATTCAGGTATACAGTTAGTTACAATACCTAGTTTACATTTCATCACAAATTGTTCCTTTAATAACTTGGCGGACAGGAGTCATGTAAATTTTAACATGAACTAAATTTTGTTCAAAGTTATTGTGGGTGTAAATTGGTAATGTGTTTGATAATACCCATAAATTTCCCGTTCTATCGACTTTAACATCGGATGGATACATATCTTGATCCTTATCCAAAGTGATAAGGCTTTGTGTATGTTCATTGTATTCTTCTCCACTAAAATAAAATCAATTAATATTATTTGAAAATAAAATAAAATTTAAAAGTCCACCTGTACGAATTCCAACATCCTATGGTGTTCTGTATTAGTAAACCGTAAAACAAAACTCCAGTTTCTATATCAAACGTTGAAGATGTCGCTTGTTTATTTATTCCTCTCGATCCCATAACTTTGAATTCGTAAACATTTTTATTTTTTTCATATTGCCAATCATGTAGCGTTTTGGAGCTAACGGCAAATCCCATAGTACTTGCAATGCTATGAAAGTAAACCGTTCTGTAACCATTCCTCCCCATTGGGGACAGTGCTATTCCGAATAGACCTTTTTGCGACTGATAATGCACTTCTCCTAAATCAATATCACCGCAAATAGGATCAAAATGAAAATAATTATGCGTCAGCGACATTGAATCATTTGTCTTCCAACTGTAAACTATTAACCGATAAGTATCACTGTCTGGTATGTAAGCATAAGCGTCTTCGCAAGTAGAAGACGTCACATCTACAACCATATTGTTGAAATCCGAATTTGTATTGGTTAAATGCCCCAGACTGTATGTACGCATGTGTATATTTGTTTTTAAATTATATACATGTATTGTAGTGGCCATTTCTCGTTTATTATTTACTTTTCCATTATCTAGAATCCATAAGCGGTCACATACATCAGCGCGAACTATAGCTACAGAAGTTAAATTGTGTTCAGATATATCATGAACCTTTTGATTAGGATAAGGGATTAAGATTGGCGTTTTATTTTTCAATTCTTCGATATCTATAATTAAAACTTAGATTAATTTAATATTTAAAAATTTATAAAGCAGAGTTGGCATTAACCTGGGTGTTTTTTGAAAAAAAGGCTGACCCAATTAAGCTTTTTGGGTAAAATTTATTTTAGACTTATTTGAGGGTGTTACATTTAATAACAAAGTTTTTGGGTGTACATAAATCCAATAAAACCCTATATGCCTAAACATATGGTGGCACCCCCACTGGGGGTTTTAGGTATAGGTTTTTTGCCAACTCTGATGTAAAGTGATTGCGATTACTTGAGATATCAATGTATGATAGAGTAGCTGGTATATTTTGTTTGAACCTTGGCGTGACCAAAAATAATTTATTTTGCCATCTTTCTAACGCCACTGGCATAGCATTTATTTGATCGGACTGCTGGCTGTGGTTTTTCAAAGTTTCAGTTAATGATGAAAAATAGATATTTTTTAAATTAAGTACTTCTTTTATTCTAGAACTCCATATTGGTAGATATAATGAAAATAATATAAGAACAATTTTAGACATCATGATTGCATTTCGAAACTAGTAACTACAATTGATATCAAACAGCATTCGTTCAAAAGCGTTTTGATAAATTTATGTTTATGCATAGTCATTTCCTATGTTTAATACAAATATGAATAAACCTTGATCTCTATACTTAATGTTTGTTTTTCAATCTATTTATTTGTCAAATATTTGAAACAAGTGAACTCATGCGTAGCTTTTATGTACCTATTAAATTGTTCACTTATTTTCTTTGTTATTAACTAAAAATAAATGAACAATAGTACTCTAATTTTACTGTCGTATTAAAAAAAAAAACTTGTGAATAATTTGATGATGGTTCGTAATTAAGTTTTGTATTGAAAACTGAAATTTAAGTGCAATTGAAAATGCTATTATTTTTAGGTGCTGATATAGTGTATAATGCATTAAAATCAGTCAATATTGATTTACTAAGAACGTCAATTAAAATTAAAGAATTTATGGATGTCAACATTAAAGAAAAAATTCAAGTATTAACTTCTATTTTACATGCCGATCAAAATGAAGTATTGACTAATCTAACTGCTTGTAGTTTAAAGACAAAACACCCTCAGTGGTTTGAAGGTAATGATGTTAACCTGTTATATTCGGGAACATTGTATTGTATACTATATGTGTTAAATATTTTACTTTTTTTTTAATATTAAATTTCAGATTTAGATACAGTAGCAAATACAAAAGAAGAGTTCATGTTCAAACGCTGTCAAGACCGTATACGAAATTATATGTATAAAACTAAAGCGGATATCAAAAAGTCTGATATTTATTTAAGTGATAGTAAACAAAGACATTATTTGAATGAAGTACTTGAAAAATTTACTGTCCTTTTAAATACAAACAAATATAATGGACATTATTTTGATAGATCGAGTGATAAATGCCTTTGTGACAAATTAGGAACATTTTTGTGTGAGGGTGCGTGGAATCAAAATAGCTGTTTTTATGAGCAGGGTACTGGCCACAAAATTAATCCTTACCAAAGTAGAGAAAGTAGAATTATTTTTTCGACTTGGAATCTGGATCATTGGTATTTGAATATATATTCTTAATTAACAAAATGTCTAAGTAAAGCTAACTAAAAGAAAAATTATTTTTAGGGCAGAAAGGTCAAGATCGGTGATACCGTCGTTGTTTAAAGCTAGCACACGGGCAACTGTTGGAAATAAATCAATAAATGTAAATTATTTTTATAATTTACTTTTTACTACCAACAATCTCAAACTTGTTCATATTGTTTGCCATGACAAAGGACAACACGATAGTGCTAAGTGTGACCCTGAATATTTTTTAGAAACAAAAAAGGTAAGTATAATATTATAATATCTTAAAAGTAGACCTAGGCGAACAATAACAAATTATTTGTTCGTTGAATGGTCACACATATAGTGTTATATATTTTAACGTTCCAAAAATGTAGGTATACTTAAATTGACATTTACTCGGTTATTATACATATACATGTGCCTATGTATCTGCTTGTAGTGTGGATACTTTGAATTTTATGTTTAATTTAAATTTTAAGAAATAGCAATTTTTTTTAAAACGTACTATATATTTTAGAACTTTTATTTTAAAGAGTTTACATTGCATGTAACTTGCAAATAAAAAAAAATTATTGTTAAAACTTTTAAAATAAAAGTTCCATGAAAAGCCACTTGTTTAATTATTATTTATTAGTTTTAAATTTAGTTTTGAAAAATGATTGTAAGTAGGCAATAATTTTCTAAATAATGTATTTAATATATTAAACATTTCTTACATTTAGTTCAGGGTAATGGTTTTTCAATGTTACAATGTATAACAATATATGTGTAAAAGTTAAATAAATAATTTTGTTGCGTTCAGTTTGAGCTAACGTTTTCTGAATGTTAAAATGTGTAACATTTAATTATTTGTTTATTTTTGCAGGTGATAGAACATACTAAACACAGTAGCAAATCAAAGAATACACATATTCTGCAAAAGTATTTTTGACAATTATTGTATGATATTTGTATACGGTTTTTAAAAAAATATAACTATATCTGTATGCAAGTCCTATTATGTAGAGCAATTACTAATTGCACATTTTTTTTTCTTCAAAACACCTCTTAAGAACTTTAACGAAATGTGGTAAATAAACTTTAAAAGCAATTTTAGTATAATTTGTTTGCCGAGAGAGTATGGCTGCACAAATCAAAATTGCAATACTCCTGTCTGTACGATAGTAATACGTTGTTTTTCTGCGCACCCATATTATCTTGGTGAACATAGTATAGGTCTAGAGTAGTGCAAATTGTTATTCGAATGAAACGTTATTCAAATAAAAAACTTTTTCAAATAAAGACTTGTTTAAAAAATTATTTTTGAAATTATTCATATAAAACATTTTTTCCTATATATATATATGTATATATATATATACTGGTTTTAAATATTTCGTAAATGTAGTATATATTTTTTTACCAAATAATATTTAAAAAAATAAGAACTTGAAAAAAGCACTTAAATATTATTTAAATAATGTTTCAATAATAATGTTTGAATAATTACATTTACATTTGAATAACTTTTTTTAAATAATTAAATTTGAAATCATTTTTAATATTTTTTTATTTGAATAAAAAATTTAACTCTGACAGATCTAGACTTAAAATCAACAAGTTATTTGTTAAGGAGGTTAAATTTTTAAATAAAACACTATTATCTATCTGTTTAGTTTTTTTTAATTTATAATAAATATTTGTGTGTCTAAAATATTATTTTATGTCCAAAAATAATTATGATGTTAAATATCAATATTTTTTTACCCAGCATAGCTCTATCTCACATTGACACTGGCCAGAAGATAGAAATAAAATCTGATAATATAAATTACCATGGCAACCTATTATTTGGGAACAAGTACAGGCGACAGTGCTTAACACTATCAACAGACGCTTGGTATGTGTAATGTACAAATTGTAAGTTGTAACCATTTGAACACTTTGTTTCCCTATAATTATTGTAACAAATAATTATTTTAACTACTCAGTTATAGCGTAATTTACCGTGTGACTTTATGAATGTAATACACCTTTAAAGTCTACCTTAATGATACCAAAGATATAAGTATGATTAATTTTCCATGCTTGATAAAAAGTCGAGTAATTATGAATTTTTTAAAAATCTATTAGTTACATAAATACTTGAAATTAATGATAATGTTATCACCTTATAAATATTTTATTTTATTGAGATATTACTAGATTACTATAATACTAGGCTTTCCTGTTAATTTATTAAATTTATTTCAATATCATACACTCAATTTATTAAACAACCTCCATTTTAAAAAATAAACTCTACGGTAACACAATAACATTTGATCTTTGAATTTTGTACTGTGATAAGAATAATATTAATCACTGTTATATAGATAGATCCTTAAAAAATATATTTCTTTTATAATACTGTATGACAAAAATATTATTTAAAAATTGTCTATTAAGTTATAATTAAACAATGTATTTGTGTTTAAAAGAAATAATACTACAATAATAGGATTAAAGGACACTTTAACAAAATCAAAATATATTATGCATATCATAGAATAAATATAATAAACAAAATTTTCACAAAACACAACAATCATTATTTTTAAACAATAAAAACCGTTTGGCCTGCCTTAAAAGAATAACAATTGTATGTAATAAAAAATAATATATTATAGAATTTGTATCTAATAAGTATAGGTAATGTTTAAACAATTAAGTAGGCACAAACAATATGTATTATATTTATACACATATTTAATATTAGATATATAGTATAAAAAATCATTATAATTTTAATTTTTAGTGTAGCTACACAAATATATATATATGCATATATATATATATAAATATATTAAAAATAAGGCACTTATTAAATTGAGATAAGGCTGGCTATCGCTGTGAACACAGTGTAAGTATGTATAGATTTTAATTAATCTCGTTAAATTATTTCATTATACTCGCACCGTAATAAATGAATCAAAACGATAAGTAAAGAACAGCTTTTAATGAACTGTGTGCATTTTACACATTTAATTATCTTTTGTCGATCAATATATTCTTAATAATATCATTTTGTTCTCGGTTAGTAGTTGTATCACATTATATACATTACATGTATAATAGCAACAACAACAAAAAAAAAACGTTTTTTTTATGGAAATACTAGTTGTTTAGCGAATGTAATTTTGTGTTTAATTAGATAGTTAAGTCTTGTAAACTTGAACTTAAGAGGGAAAATTCAAAAACACAATTGGGGTGGGTACATAAAAATATCGTGCAAATCGTGTAACTGTAATAGATTCAACAAGCACAATTCGATTTCTTCTCGCCCTGTGACGCAGCGGGGTTTAGTCTGATTTCGCCATTTGTTTTCGTTAATGGTTTATATTGAGCTGTATTCTTTAAAATCTAAACATAATTTATAAATTCAAATTCTATTAGATACAAATTACAATTATTTAACCCATTAGTTTGCTAAAATGACGATTACCTGAGACACAAGTGTTTTGGCTGCATCATCTATGTGTATGTTATCTTTTGCTGACGTTTCATACCAAGCGGAGAACATGTTTTCCTTGCAGAATTCATCCATCTTGGAAACGCTGTTTACCATACCTTCTTTTGCTTGATCACACTAAAAAAAAAAAGTAATAATAGTCCTGAATAATTAACATTATTAATTCAATATTCTGACTATTTTCCTATGACACCTTTTATATAAACTCCGGAAAGTTCAAAATGTCGAGCTTTTATTTGAAAAATATTGAAAATAATAAAAAAAAGATGTATGTATACAAGGCTATCAAATTATCGTGAACCACTCAATGTCTCATTGGGTTAATAATAATAATTAATTGAATTTTTTTTCCATAACGTTTTTATACAATGTGATCTCAATTTCTTACAATTTCTTTGTTTTTACCCCCCTCCCAACTTGGTTTTTTGTATAGCAACTTTTGAAACTTAAATGGTCACGCATACATTTCATGAACTTCTTCAATTGGTAATGATGTACTAAAAATGTTGACTGGTCGATAACCAGATTTGGATAACTATTTTTTTAAGTTTTAAGTTCAGGGCAGGAGGAAGGGTGGAGTACAACACACGATGATTTAATCAATAATTAAAATTTTATCGTTGGTTTGCTAACCGATGTTTAACCAAGGAACTGTACAACTGGCAACTGTACATAATATATCAATAAGGCTTTCGAAAAAAAAAATGTTGGACGGGAATTTTTTCCGCTCTTTTTCATTTATTGACAGACCTTACACGTGTAGTCCGTGAGTAATTTTTGTTTCTTATATTCTACGTCACATATTCGTACACACACAAAGTAATATTTGTCTCATCTTATTTGTGAGGCAATAATATTCTAAGGACTAAGACGTGAGAGTGTGAAACTCTGTAGTCCTTGTGTCAATTAAAGTAGAATAAGCGATTCTATATTTTCGTTCAATTGAATTTACTTAATTTACGCAACCTGAATGCAAGTCAATAGATTAGGTAATGTTTCAATGCAAAGTAACTGAAGTTCGAGAAAAAAAATATTAATTTTATCTAGAATAATATTATAACTCTTTGTATTACAGGTAGTGTAAGTAAAATATGAATGTACCATAGTGTGTATACCTATTTAAAATATCATTATAACCGGATTTAGTTCATTAACTGGGTCATTATAGGTTCATTTTAGGTATTTTACTTTGTTGGCGAGCAGAACACAAGGTATAGGCGTGCCGTCTTCCAAAGACACTTTAGCATCTAAGTCTTGTTTCCATTTGACTACTGCGTCAAACGTACCAGGTCTCGTAACGTCGAATACAACAAAAGCTCCTAAAGCGTCCTTATAGTACACTCTGGTCATGTTACCAAACCTCTCTTGGCCTGAAAACAGAATAAATTCATAATTACAAACATTATACGACCGTTTTTTAACGTTGCCTTTACTCTACCAACCGGCTATGTCCCATAACTGTAATCTGACAATTGTGTTCGAGTCCCAGTTTAGTACTTTCAACGCAAAATCCACCCCGATGGTCGCTCGGTAGTGTTGTGAGAAGAACTGGTGGACATATCGCTTGATTATCGACGTTTTGCCTGTCCCTAACTCGCCGATCACAAGAATCTTGAATAGATACTCCTTAGGCGCAATTGAATTTCTCGACTATGCAAATACATTTAAATAACTTATACAACTATTTATTTAAAAAGTAGTAACGGCTGTCAAATAGGTGATACTAACTGGTTACTCCGTGATTTAATACCAGCAGGTTTTACATAGTTAAATATTATTCCTTAGTCTTATATAATTTATAAACTTATATTTACATCTAATACTGTGTATGATTATTATTTCTTTGCCTGGAGTTCTTCTAAAATATTTTTTATTACTTAATACTATTATACGTATGCATAATGTACATAATAAGTGGTAGTTGGATTTTTATAGGAAATAAAGTTAGATAAAAAAATATATACCTAATATGGAAACATTAGGTAGGCAGGGAGCGTACAAGGTGTACTACTAGTGTACAAATATAGAAAGTTCAAAATTGTAATTTTTGATGCTAAAGAACACGTCAAGCATCTAAAATACATGTAAAGATATAGAATATATACATTAATGTTCATATGTCGTTATTGTAAAATGATCAAAGTTTACTAATGAGTAACAATACTTGTGACAGAATCGATACATTTATTTTAATTTGTATATAAGATATGCTGTGACTTAACAATAAAACCATATTTTATAACTTATAATATCTATTTTAGTTTACATATGCTCATAATTTTGTGAATGTCTATTTCAAACTAATAATAAGGTTTTTGAGAATAATATGTAGATATTATTTTTTTTTAATTACGTACGTCAAAATATTTGAATGTGTACACTAGTGTTTAAAATGTTTAAACAAATTGTATGTATATGGCTTCATTGGCCTATTTCAACATTTATAAATGTAAAAATTTTACAGGAAATCAGTTTAAAAGTATTGTTTTAGTACTTATGCTTTCTAGGAGTTGAACTATTAATAGAGCTCTATATTTCACGTGGTTTTAATAACCGTTATTTAAGACGCGTAACTTAAAGTTGTCCGTGAATTTATAATTTTATTCACGTCTTCACGTATTTATTTATTTATTAAAATGTGTCTAGCTATAATAGACTATTTGCCGGGGGGAGGTGAGCAACATTCGTTCCCTTTGGTCGGTCGCACGACTGCCGCAGTTATAAATAAGTATTCACATGAATTAAAAAAGTACTGGTCTTATATTATTATTTTGTACTTAATCACGGATCCGTAACCGAGACCCCTTAATAAGAAGCATTTTTTACCATGTTTTTGCAAATATATCCCTTTCTAAAGTAACAATGTTCTAGAACCACAATATATTGTTAATATAATCTTAGTCTTCCAGTTTTCACTTTTGACGAATAGGAGTGATCAGTCCTAATTGTACGAATGTACTCACATTAAAAAGGTATGTTTAGATTTTAATAGTTGCCAACACGTATCAATTATATTGTTTGAATTTCATGTTATATAATTATTTACTTTTCGGAACGCGTATAAATAAGTTATTAGTTTTATAATCAATTGAAGGCTATTAAAAATATTGACATTTGACCACTATCGTATTTAAACTCGATTATGTAATGCTGGAATTTTTTACTCATCAATTATCTTTTTCACTTAACTACTTAGAATTTCATTCAGTTGATAAAACCTTGTTTTCAAATCACTCACGCGTTACAGTGATCCGAATTAACCGAGAGAGTATATTTTTTTCTTTTTCGAACATTAAGCTTAAAAACATTCTTGATTGAAGACATAGGCGTAATTTGAAATTTATACTAGAGGGAGCTAGAATGTACTGGACATATACGCAAGCTTCAAAGTACAAACACTTATGTCATTTTTTTAGCTATGAAAATGTATTTGGTTTCAAATTGTTCAGAATCAATCCAGATTAAAAAAATAGCACTAACTCAATTTTGACAAATGCGACAAGAGGTCCGCTTACCACATCACATATTTTGTTAAAACCAATCTATAATTTTTTTTAGTACCTACCAATAGATATTATTATCTTTACATAACATTTTATTTACAAAAACTTACGTTAAACGTCTATTATTCCCTACCACATGGTTTATAGTCCAGTGACAAACCCCCCCCCCCCAAATAAAAATAAATCCTAGTTGTGCCACTGTTATAGTCATTAATACTATTCAACAAATTTGAATTACTTTTGAAGATTTTAAAATTTTAATTATATAATATTTATTTTCAAGACTGAATGAGTATTGCATTTTTAGTTTAGTTAGACTCGTAAATAATAATCAACCAGGACCGCCCTACAAAAATTGTTTTCATAGTAGTAAGAAGTTAACACTATATTTTACTATTTTCATAGGTATTTTTTTTTTCGATTTAAATGTTTGTTATTTATACATTTGTACGTTAATTGATGTTTATCAGTTTATACAACGCAAGATTATCATAATTCGAATTATTGGACTTGGAAATAAATACGGTATTCTATTTTAATAACATATTCAAGGATAACTATATTTTTTAAGTAACGCAACACAAAAAAAAAGATTCTATATAGTAAACACCTTTAATTGTAATACGCACAGATATGCAAATAATATTATGACGTATTTATTTTCTTTATATTCTCCGAATCAAACGTTTTAATGCTGTTTCTGGTGGCCATGGAGATATTTTGAAGGCAAAGAACATCGAATTCTTTTCGTGACTTGCGACTAAACGCGTGCAGTATGATGTCTCAACGATCGTCCCACACAAAACAATAAATGTACTATTTAGTTTACCCCGACAGGTGAGTGTGAAAAATTTAAGTTGAAACGACATGGCATAACAAACTCGGGTTTTAATTGAAATAAGTAAAAAAAAGTTGTTTCTAATACTTAAATTTTGAAAATTACAATAATATATTCCGTATTTGATTTAAGCAAAATATTTTTTAGAACCTACTAATTAGTTATCGCTTTATAATCAATTTATGTATGCATTTATATAATAATTTTTTTTTTAATATATGCTTACTAATAATAAGGTTATCCTAATTACAATTAGGAACATTATACAAAATGTTTTAGGTATTATTAAGTTAGGTACTTGATTTCAAGGTAATATTTGGGTTTTGGTTGCTATAAATAAGATAACAAACATGGAGATAACCTACCATTGTGCATCTCTCTCTTAGAGAGATTGTGCATAATTATTGATTTTTGTACTGAAGGAAACACGTATATCGAATTCTACATGATAAAAAAATATGAAAATAAACTGACGTTAAATGTATCAAGTCGCAGCTATTATCTGGCAAAGGCCGATGAACAATTAGGCATATAAAGGCACCTAGGGAATTTTTTTGAGTTATCTTAACGCACTCACGATTCATTGCAATGATAGTTGAAAAATTACATTGTTCACTGGCCTATATTGAAATTGTTACTGAAGTCGAATTTATTTACAATATTTAACGGGTGTATTCACACGTTCGTAAGGTTGAAATTTATTTATGTCTGTCATAAAAATTAAGGATAAAACTTGTTTTTTATTATCCAAACAATAGTTTAACATATATTCTCGAAGCTTTTATTATATTATGAAATATAATGAAATGTAGTACAACATAAACAATAAAACGAGCTTATTTGAAATAATGAGACTTATTAGATGTTTATACAACTATCAACAACAGACAACCGCCCAAATTCAAAATAGCCTAACAGTGTGTGACTTTATCTTCTCAATTTTTTAAGGGGGAATATGCATAAATAATTTTGAGTAGTCTCGCTAATAATGACTAATATTTTTCTAAAATGCCATCGTTTGACGTTTGCCTAAAATATGTAAATGATAATTCAATTTACTAATCGTTACAATTTTAAACCCAAAGAAAACGTTTGACGGATAATTTACATCTAACGACTTACAATCAAGTAATCCAAATCATCGTGGAATTCGGCTGAAATAATTTTGTGTTTGTACTTTCTCGGACTGTTAAATGCCATCAATTAAACTTGTTAAAGTTTAAATTTAAGTGATCGCGTGTGTCTATATCCGTCACGATATCGATACGGTAAGCGAACGGATTAACTAATAATAATAATAATAATGATGTATTGTTAAATAAAAAAAAAGGCGACGGTGTATAATGTACGGTATAGTTTTGATGCGATTTATTAGAATATTACTTAGATAAACGTGGCCACGGACTCGCAAGGCTACAACACTAGACTGCCGTTTTACAATTCGTCGGTTTCTTACTCGCAATACAATAATTATTATCAACTGTAATCGAGTTTCGGCGCAATTATTGATATTATTATTTGAAATAAATCTTATTTTTGTTTTTACCCGTTCGGAGTTACGCGGCGTAACACGTGCACGTCTGATAATGTTAATACGGTAACGTCGACTGTAAACAATCGTTCGACAGCTGCTGAAGATACACAGGCTTGGCGCGCAACAAATTTACTGTAATGTTATATATTATTATGTACGTTCGCTTGTAATAACAAGATAATAATAACTATTATCCGAGTGGCGAGTAGAGGTGTGAAAAGATTACGGGATATTTACTATCTGGGATATCTACATATTAAAATATACGGTTGACTGACTTGATATTTACCATTGTTTTTAATCCGTGATGTTACCGTATCAATGCGTGTACGAACGGATCTCGGTACGGCGGGCCTTTTAGCGATAAACTTTTTTTCCCCTTCAAACCACACGGAAACGGAAAACGAACGCGCGCACTCACAAACGAAACAGGTCGGACGCTGGCGACCGTCTATCGGCGGTTTTGTATAATATATAATAATAATATAATGTAGTAATAAGAATAATAATTATATATTACGTAACCGGACCGGTAACACTATGTATACAATGGCAGTGGAAGGGAGCGCGGAGGTACTTTGGTGCCGGTCAAAAACAAACCTTCGACGTCCCCTCCGCTTCGACCATCATTTCCAGAGCCGGCAAACAGGTTTTACCTTATCTACCCACCGCACGTTTTATAAGATCCTCCCCGTTAGGTTAGGTCGCAGCGTGAGTACATCATTGCAAAGGGCGATCATCACCGATCGGTCCCTCGAACCATCGTGCACTGTTAACAAAAAAAAAAGCACTTTAATTATACTAATTAAATTAATGTTAATCGATAAGGGGTGTGTTTTGTTATAGGGTGCGCACACGCATATATTACCTATTATCATAATATAATAATATATTTAAAATTATATTGCGTTATCAACTGACACGACCGCACAAGCCGGCCACTATATTATTATCAAAACTCAGGTAAACGCGTATAGAGTGCCAGCCGCAGCTAACAACGTCGACGACAGATAGATAAGTGTATTGATTTTTTAACCGCAGTAAAACTGTGAGGACGACGAAGACGCCGCCGCGGAGCAAGCCGAATATTTACCGGCCAAGTTTTAGTGTCCCATTATGTAATATAATAAAATAGTCTTACTTCTAATTTCTTTGTTTGTTTAAAAATAATTTTCTGTTCGACTTACGTTGGTTTTCCGGTTTTTGCGAAAACCTGCATATTTCTGTTCAATTAATAGAATCAATTTTATTTCTTACATTGGAAATGGTGAATCCATAAGCTTGTTATTATTGCTATAGTTTCAAAATAAATGACAAGAAAAATCCATGATTTTTTTTCCAATAGCTAACATATGACTAAATGACTGCAAACCGTTTTTATTTTTTGCATATGGCTTTAATGCCGGAAGTAGGTCCGAAGGCCTAGTTCGGACGCCTGCTTGGCAGAATGGGCTGGTCACCCGTAGGTTTCTGCTAAGTTTTTTTTTTGGAGGGGGGGATGGCAGCTTTTTTCTCTAAACAGTTGCCTTCCCGGGGAGAGATGCCGCTCGTGGCCGGGTTCGAACCAGCGACAGTGCGCGCATTGGAACCGCCGCGCCGCCTTAGACCACTCGGCCACTCCGTCCGACAAACCGTTAAATATCATATTATCAATTAATAATGATAAGTTTGACCGGTATAATTGGAGGTATTGTACACTATCTTCGGTCGAGAAGGAACATAGTGAATACGGAATACATAAATACCGTGTTCTGAAAAAGTAATAATTAAGGGTGGTCAATAATGTTTTAAATGTTAAAATTTAATTATTGGCTTTCTTAAACTCTTGTTCGCTCTGGAAAAATTCTGAAATGATGCCCGTGATGTACTCAATGTAGGTAAATTATGAACATACGATTAGAATTTAATTTGAGGAGTCGGCATTTGTTTTACTAAGCATAATAAACATCTGACTTCGGATATGATGATACCTAACATGTAAATCGTCATAACCGACAGTTAAGTATAGGCAATTTTTCGCAAAATCTTAATTTAGAACTATAGTGTATACTTATTATACAGTGATGAAGATTATTTATTCTAGGATAAATTAACACATTTTTTCCCATCAAAATATGAGGTCAATATCCACTGTAAAATATCAAATTTTCAATGTATATACATACAATAAATTTATCTGTGTCGTAGCATTGTTGTATTATTTTAATAATAATACTAACTTGTATTAAATAAGAAATGGAAAAAAAGGTACAGTCTACTTAAAGCCTAACGGCTAAAATTATAAAACATAGAATATGCTTTAGCCTACTGGCTCCTGAATGGTGATTATTTCTGATCTATAATCTCTAATCTATAATTTATAGGTACATAATAAGTATTGTGAACAATGCGATAATGACATACCGATAATTTATTATTGTTGATTGCAAGACGACTGTTTACATCAGTCAACAACAGAACTTCAGCCGATGCTCGTTTTTAAATTGAAATCGATTTGTTTAATACCTATTACTATGTTACTAGTAAAATTACAATATTCAATTGTTGTAGATTAACGAATAGCTAAACATCATAAGACAACTGTTACAAAAATCAAACACACGGGTTTATTGACTTTTATTGACAATAACGCATCTCATCATTATGGTTTATTATAAAAAGCGGCTATTCATTTTATCCGGCTTGAATTTCCTGGAACCGAGGTTAAAGGTTGTTTTTCTTCAACACAATTCATTGGGCGACGCGTTAAAGAAATATATCATGTAATCTACTTACTAGAACTAAATAATTTGTTGGTAGACACAGTTGTAAATACTTATAACAATAACAACCATCAATATGTAAAAAAAAAACACTTATCAATTTATCCTGTAACTGCTCATTATTATCTAAATTAAAACTTTAGTTTGAATGCACGGTTATGATATTATTACATGAGTACTGTCCAATATTTGCGTAGTTTTTATTATAATATAATACCTCTGTTACAAACTGAAATCTGGTTTCCTTTATTATACGTAAAACTTTTAGTCAATAAATAGGTATTCCGTATTTGCTCTCAAATTTAGTGAGGGGTTTTAATAATTAATCACATGTTAAGGGTGCTTAGTTTTCGTCTTGAGATGGGAAATTTACCGGTAAACATTTTTCGTAAACTAAACTTAAAACTAAATAATACTAAAAATAACATTAATTTGTACATAACATATAACTTTGACCTTTGTAGTATTATAATTTTTAGGATTATCGAGGGATCGATAAGCAAGAAAATAATCCTCTCTGCTCCAAGGTACTACTTTAGTTGAGTTTGGTGTAACTGTATAATTGTGTTCTTTACTTTGAGTTTTACCCATTCATCGTACCGTAATTTTTTATTTAAATATTTATTTTGGCTAAATTAGAAATCCATAGATATAACTTTTTAACTCAATCTGTGTAAAACACTCAAGATTTGTGAGTTATGCTAATAAAGTTTATGTATTGCAGATATCTATTCAATTCTTTCTTTTATTATATAACTATTAAAATTAGTGGTTGATGTCTAAAATATTTCATGTGAAATACCTATTTAATTTTGAAATATTTCACTTGACAGTCAATTAGTGGATTTTATCAATTTTAGTTATAATAATTCCCGAAGACCTCTTCAATTTCACACAGTGTATTGTTTTTATTGTTGAATTTATTAAATTTTACAATTACTAATTCTTTAAAATCGCAATACATCTAGTTTTTATATTTTTTAGCATTGAATGAAGTAATTAATTTGTCAATTTTAAATGACATCAATAGAAAAGATAAGAACCAATTAAGGAAGTTGTTTTATTTATATTCAGTTAATTTTGTTGTACCAGTTTATAGGTAATATGCATACATCGTATTATAAAATGAATCATGTTTATTTTAAACTAGTTATTCTAGAATACTTTACCATTTTATTCATTAAACGTTTAATGACATTTTTGTTCTAAATTAAAGTATTCTGGCGGGCCATACAGCAATTTTATGGCTCATTCAATTGAATGGACCAATCAATTTCCAATGTATGATATTTAAGAAACCACTAAATATCTATTCAATTATTTAACCTTAAATAAAAGTTCATATACAAATACAGAGATATATTGTCAAAAAACGATACTTAATTGTGCGATAACAAATTGAACATCAGTTATAAAGCGTTATGCTTACGCAAGTGGTCAATAGTTTTCATAGCAAGATGAAATATGAAACTTCGCCTAGTTGATTTTATCTAGTAGAACTCTTTTTGGAATAACTATCAAAACCGTACAGGATTTTGACCTCCGACCCCCTCCGACATCAATTACTGCCTTGGAAGCAAAGCCCGACTGTTTCCATACCAAAAATCTTGAGAGTTGTTACCGAGAGGTAAAAGTTAGACTAAACTCAGTTTAATTTTAAAACCTTGAAAACTATACCCAGTGAAGAAAAAACCCACTTTAGAACTTTGACCATTTTTTATTAGAAGTATCTGTATTAGTTAATACCAAAAACTGTTTTTCGACGTACCAGAAATAATCACCAACTTAGGTTGTATAGCTTATATATTGCCTATATTTTGCCCCTTAATTAACGTTAGCATCTTCTTTCTAGGAATACCTTGAACAAATTAGCAATTATTTTGTGGAATTAGCTAAATGTTTACGTTTGACTTGCCAAGATAAAATTTAAGTTTGATAAAACGACTGTTTTGTGGAGGTGTTACGATATAAGAGGTGTGTGGGGGTTAGATTAAGTGTTTTCATATTTTTACCAACTAATTGCATACGATATTTAATTTGTTCGTACCATATCTTTTTAGTACTGACATAAAAAAAAACCATATTATAAATCAAATTACCTTTACAGCTGAATGTGTGATATTGATGAAATTCTATTACTGATGTGCGACGTTTTACTCTCTACATGATGATTTTAGAGCAAAAATACCTATAACAAAAACGAAAGATGACAACATTTTGGGAGACAATTTCATATCTTTTTTTTTGATAAACCTAATATCTAGCTTAATATTTAAGTTAAAATTACACTATTTTAGATATAACCTTTTTCACGTTATTTTTTTTTTAAATCGGTTATGACATTATTTCCAAAATTTTGTTATCTTTCGATTTCATAATAAGGGTATTTGCTCTAAAACAACCATGGACTTAGAAAAACGCATTTTGCGTAACTACGTCTAGATGGAGAAACTATTTAAAATAGTCTAAGAAAGAGTTCTAATTACTAAACTAATAATTATACATTACAGTTTATGCTTTAAATTAAAACTTTGCAAAAATTGCCTATATCTAACTCCTTAATAAATAGGGGTATCACGTCCTTTAAATATCTTACCCTATTTGCTATTTAATTTTATTTCCATTTTTTAACTTGACCAAACCATCTCGATCTATTCTCTCTCATTTTTACTGTTATAGGTGCCACCCCCAAATTTTCTCTTATTTAAAAGTTACCAGAATACATGATAGCTCGATTACCAAAAACTTGAAACACACTTTTTTACGGTAATAGTATGACAGTCGATGTGATAAATGTAAATAATTATTGTTATTCATATATTTTATTATTTAAATAGTAGGATAATTATTATTACCGTTTATTAAGTCAGGTTCACACATGTATTCTTTACAATATATTATTTTGTTTTGTAAATGTGCATCTGTGTTTAACTTGCTTTGCAGCTGCTTCCGTTGAAATTTTACTGTCACAATACTTTATTTTTATATTTATTCAAAAGGTTCTTTCAAAAGGGTCAGGAGACATATGACACCCCGGGGTTATGATGTCTCGTGAGACGTGACACCTGTTTACCTTAGTGTACTTAGTTGAAGAGTGATTAGTTGCTTGTAATTTTTTTTTAACAATTCATATTCATGTTTGTGTATACCAGTTTATACATCTAATAATATCTGAAATATGATTTATAAGATTATTGAAAGTTTTACAATATTAAATTATAATGTTCGCATAAGTGTAGTATATTGTGAAAGTTAAATAAAATTAGCAATGTTGAAATCGTGCATTTTTCTTTCATAGAACACGTTTAACAATAACAGTGATACCTTTTAATAAGTATTAACAAATACCAGCCAAACTATATTCATCCCGTGCAATTTATCAATAATTTCTGTTGACACCTCTGCAGGTTAAGCTAATACCTAGAGCAAATCCAATAAAATGAACATGATATAATTAAAATGTTTTGTAGACAATACTTCTGAAAATTTCTAATTGATCAAAGACATAACAGCTCGCGAAAAATGCAAAATTTGTTTTCAAAAAAATTAGTACATAATAAAACATAGAAAACGATAAACTAGGCATCAACGATGGACAGCTTCCCGTCGTCGCTAACGTACAGCTTGCGGCGTCTGGACTCTGGTCCTTCGTTTGTTTTTAGACTGTGGACCCTTTGTGATGTGATTAGTACTTTTGCAGTTTGTCTTTTGTTTGCACTTTGGTGTTGTCTATTATAATTATTCAATTAAGTATTATAACTATTAACTATTATAGTGTATGTCAAACACGGTTTGCAATTTTCATTTAACGTAACATATATGTAATAATATTATTTTGTTGTTTTATCAAGACTAAAAGAGGTAGTAGATTGTGACGCTCGTCACTATTTTGTGATATTATATTTTAATTTTAAACGTCAACATACCGATTACTATTAAGGGGATTGAAAGCTGACTGTTTTTAAGAAGTTTTATATAGGAAATATTTTAGAAAAAAGTGGTTTTAATCAATTTCGACCATATAAATTTATTTTCAGGTTAAATTGTATTATTTTAACGTATACTATTTTTTTTATTAGTTAAAGCCATTTTGGTGGTAAATAACCAATTTAGACCCGGAAAAATTATGTCTACTTAGAATGATCAGATTTTAGTTCTGTAAAAAATATTTGAACTCATCGGTCTTTTTCCTGGTTATTTTGTAAGTTGATTTTGTAATCAATTTTTGACTTAAAAAATACAAGGAAGTAAATATTAAAAATTTGAGGAATTAAAGTAGGATTTAAACACAATTTTAATTGAAGTATAATTAAAGTTTAGAGGCTATTCATTATTGCCACATTGCTATACAAATACTATCCATCCACTTCTTCTAAATACCGGGAAAACTCTATAATAATTGACCTTTTTCTTAGTTTAGAATTGAAAAGCTACAACAAAGTAATAAGTATATATGTATGGAACATTTATAAAGGTTAGTGCATATTTTTTTTTTAATTTAAGACAGTCAACGTTTTTGTTGCCCCACCTATTTAGGAAGTAAAATATAGGTAATTTTTCGATAAAAATCGAACTGAAGCTAAGTGTGTTCACTTATATGGCATTATAATAATACAAAGGGTATTCAAAAACTACTTTCAGTAAATTAGGGAAAAATAGAAAACTATTTTTATTTCGAAATAAAAGTTACAGACGTTTAAAATTATTTTCTTTTAGCACTAATGCAGCGATCCCAAGTGTCCTGTCAATGTTATTGCGCTCTTCGGAAGAATTGTTCCGTGCATATCAATCCAATAACGCCAAACGAAACGATATGATGTTATCTCGGAAATCAGCGCCTGAACCCATTTACAAGTTGCGTCGGTCCATTCATTTTTGATAAGGGGTCTCGGACATTCTTTTTAAAAGGTAATTCAACCTCTCGAACGGACCCAAAGTAAAATACATACTTACTCTATACCCTTCAGTGAGCGCTGCTGTGAAGTTATTCAAGGATGTAGAGGGAAACGTCGAAACAGCGAAACATAAGACATGCGTTTTGCGGTGTTAAATGATTAATCGTTTTTAAATGGCACACCTATAGCCTAATGTTTTTAGCTGGCTTGCCGGCTGCTTGTAATGTAATTAAAAAAAACAAATTACCCACAAAACGTGGTACCTACCTATTTTTACCTATTGTACGTTAGCATGTTGTTCAAGTCGAAAGCTTTAAAAGGAATCGACTTTGGCCGGCAAAGGATATATTTTGTCGTCACGTGGCAACGCCGCTCGACCGGCACGCACGAACACCATCTGGATCGAAGCCGGCCAAGCACGAAGGTCGTCTGTGGGTCGCGCGACGGCGGCTGTGGCTTTACTCTACCGAACCAACAACACACACACACACACACATTGCCTGTACACAACAACAAGCGCGCACGCGGACGCAGGCAGGCAGTAGTAGCAACAGCAGCAGCACCAGCACCAGCACCAGCACCAGCGCCGGCAGTGCTCCGGTCGGTTTGGCCTCATCCTGACGCACGCGCGCACGCTCTCCTCACACACTCGACCGGTGCGCAGTATAGTCTATAGACGTAGTAGTAAGTATAATATTAATAACAATAACAATAAAAATAATAACGATATTATTATAGTAGTCGCCGGGACTCTCATTCATATTGTTTCTGCTCGTGCGCCGCCGCCGCCGCCGCCACCTCCGCGTATAGTGTGGTAATAATACAAAAAAAAAAAAAAAACCGTCGAAGCCGCATCCGATAATCCCAACTTGCGCCTTCGCCGTATGATTATTGTTTTTTTTTTCTTTTTCATTTTTATTAGTATAAAAAAATACACACACAATCGAAAATAGTGATAGAGAACCGTCGAATCGCTTTCACTGCGGTCATTTGGAGTTGTTTCGTCGCGTTTCTAATGCCAGTGGTCTGCTCGTTCTGTGTACACCAAACGACGGCAGCCGATTGCCGACGAATCGCTCACAGTCGTTCGGTAAAAAGCTAACAATATATGATTATGTACTGGAGCGGCACGATAACAGCTGATGATAGCCGCAAGCGATCGTAAGTGACCGGAATCGCCGACACAAGACAGACGATGACGACCGCGACGGTTTACAGTACACGGCACTACAGGTCAGTTTTGAAAAAAAAAACCAGTAGTATTTAAGCTGTGGCAGTATGGCAAATGAGAAATTATGTACGACTTATAAAAATATATACTTAGGTACAACTTAACGCCGCGGTTGTTGACCAGTATGCGATAAGGACGGCGATAGGAGGCGGTCGCGCGTAACACCGGTATACCTATAATTGGTCTTAAGCGGTATTTTTTCTGACAAAATCTATTCGGACGCTCGATCGTTAATTTATACTACTATATTTTACTATGTCGTACTACTGCACTACCCCGCCGCGTTCGGGGAATGGAGCTTCGTGGCGTCGCCCGAAAACCATAACATCCGGTATCGTAGTAACGACAAGTCCTATGCCAAAAATAAAAAAAAATAAAAAACTAACGAGTAGTAAAAAGAAAAACCTGTCTCATCGCACTTTCGCAAGTCACCCGGAATACGGCGTGTGCCGTCGCCGCCGCCGTTATCGTCATTGCCGGCACCAACCACTTCCCCCCAAAAACGTTTCCATTCAGAGAGCATTAACCCCGTGCGGTAGTTCACATCCCCCAAGTGCTGGGTATTGCGACATCGCGTTGGTTTCGATGACGACTAACGTTTGCCACGGTTGTGGTCAAAGGCCGTGAAAATCCGCACTTGAACATTTGTTTGTCATATAGTATTGCGTTAACGACCCATTAGTCACAGCGTTATTAATTAATATAAATAATCATCATTTATCGTTATATTGACTGTACAGTTTACATGGCCGGTTATTTTTTTACCAATTCGCCCGCGTTTAGACGGAAATTTCGTGAATTGTGTTTGTCTTTTAACGTTTTGTACCGTTTTATAACCGTCAAAAAGTATGTTTGCGCCGTTGTTATCATCCACACACACACACACTCACATATTATATAATATTATTATTGTTGATTCTATGCGCATCCGCAGCAACACGGTGAGATAACTAGATTTTGTATTATGTTATATTTTATGTACAAAGCATATCTATTTCGTCGTAGGGTCTACAACACGACGTGGCGATAGTCGATTCGTGATTTTACAAAATATCATTCATAATATGCGAGTATTAATGTGTTATAATATAGAATACAAACTACCGGGTTTTTTGATTTTTCTTTGTTTTGTGGCGCCGAAAACCAGTCACAGGTAGGTAGCTCGATGGAATTTTCTCGAGCAAAGGGTGGGTTCTATGGTATAAGAACGTTCAATTTACCATAGGAATGGTACGGGTCGTATACGAAATAATTGTTGCTACCGGTAAATGCAGCGCGGCGCCACCTCAGACCGTTACAATCGATCCCTTTACAATTAATATTAGGTATATAAAGAATAACGTATGCAACTATGACATAGCTCTTAAAAATAAATCAAAAACCTTCTGTATTGACTTATCGACAATGCAACACTTAGTATAAGACTGTAGCGGCTTATCATTGCGAACGTAAGTGGTCGGTAAATATTGTAGGCCAACAGTTCTGACGTTAATATTTGCTTCAACGAACTGTTATTATAGAACTATAATATAACTAATTTGTTCCCCACGATTTAACACAACATTTATAGTCTACGTTGCAGCTTTGGTCTGCTTAATTTGTGTTATTTTAAGCGTAGCGGTTTTGTCAATACTTTTAAAAATGTATCCTAGTGAATAGAACCGTTTGTAACATTCGTCGGGGTTATATTTACTACACAAGACGCAAGACTGAAATAACTTTCTTTTGAAGGGTGAAATATCAGGGGAAATGTTAATTTTATAGCCGAGCATCTATGTAGGTGCTTATTTTTATTTTACTTAGAACTCAATAGTCAAACTCGTGTTAGTGAACCGTTGAACTCATGTTTCTTAGACCTAGCGGTCTATTATATATGATATTTCCATATTATTACCATTAAGAATCTCTACGGTGGTCGGTGTCTAGTAATCGAACTAAAATTCCAACAACTAAACATAATATTTATCCTTGAGAATAAATATTATCGTCGATCCAGAGTGTTAAATAATAAAATATTATTGATTATAAATTATAATAATTATTCTATGATAGTGTATGTGAATTAACCTATACGTAGAAGACCTCTATGTAGTTAGTCACGTTTAGTTAAAAATTGTAGACACAAACAAAAATCGACAATAAATTTTTAGCCATAACTTCAGTGGAAAATTGATTTGCTTACAACTTTATACTTATTTTTCATTGTATGTTATTAATCATTTAGTACCATTTAATATATGCAAAACGTTTCAAATTATTAATTTAAAATTAGCAGCAATAGTAAATAGTGTCCCTGGAAATGATAGTAAGCAGAATGACAAGGCTTAACAATAAACATACCTACATATTAAACCTTATTAAACGTAATCTCCTTATTTACTATCCCTTACGAACGAGTGGTGGTAAATACATATACAGAACCAAGGGCGGAATCAGCATCTATTTACAGTGGGGGTACTTTACAGGAAAAAATGAAATAATATAGCTGAGCATAGGCGTAGGTATGTAGAAGGGTCTTGGGGGAAGAACAAATTTGTTCTTTAACGGCTTTATCCTCAATAGCCTATTGACGCTTAGGAGTTTTCAATACTATTATTTTTAATATTTTTTTTTGCCAACGGGGTGGCACTTGCCCTCTGGATCCGCCCTTGTATAGAACTAGGTGCACTTAACTTCATTATTTTAACAAGAAATAGAAAATGCGTTGTAACTAATGTACTTAATTTTCAGCAAAACACTGGGTTTTGGTAGATTATTTATATATTTATTTTTTTAATTTTTTTAATAGCCTTTATTAATAAATAATATATGGCTCAACAATTAGATAGTAAATTTATATATTTATAATTTAAAATTTTAACGATAAAAATATTAATAAATTATTATTTCTATGGGGTTTCTAAGATCCAAGGGTCAAAACAAAAACCACAGTAATATTTAGCTAAATTCTAATTGCTTAATAAAACAAACATTAACAGGTAATTTAATATTTCGTACAAAATATGTAGTATACATATAAACATATTTACATTATTTACATATAAACCTATGTAAATAAATAATATATGTGTTTTCAAAATTATGATTCGATATAAACATAGTTGACATTTATTTGGTTTCCAAAAATTAAAAATAAATAAGTAAATAATAGGTACGTATGAATATAGGTACCGAGATATCTTAATAATTGTAAGTGTTAGAAAAGTAAAATTTTTTTTAAAAAATTAACCGAAGTAAGAATTATTACTATTGAGCGATGGTAGTTAGAGAGTTAAGATAGCGGGTCAGGGTTACAGAGAAGATTACGAAAATAAATGTACGTCTTGAACACCAATGGGCTAATCATTATATTATTCGTTTTATACGACTTAAGAAAATAAATTGGTATCAATTTAGGTTCATTTGGATAATATTTAATAAAGACAGTTAACAAGCGAAATCCTTTTATTTTTAAATGTCTTAATATTTCAAAGTGTGCATATGCACTATACAGTGTAGATCTATATTTTCTAGCCCAATCAGCGTGTGCTAGTTTAAAATAATTTAGGTTTTTTGTATTAATTTTAACAGTTTTATTTTTAATATACCTACTACCCGAAAAAATAGAAAACACATTTCAGAAGATAATTATAAAATATAATCATATAGGTCCACATTTATTTAGACTAATATTGTATTATTTCTACAAGAAAACATATTTTAACGTACAACTACTCTAATAATTGCCTGCAATTTTATGTGGCACGCAAATTGCTTTCAATTTTCTTGTAGATAATTAAATGTAATTTGTGTTTTTCGCTGTAAACAAAAATCTGGGTTGAGTGTTTATTATTTAATGTCATTACTAAAGAAAAGCGGGTCTTCATAATTTACGTTGTAGCTTTAGTTTAATTGAGAACGGTTTAATCATTTACCGTTAAAATGGCTTAATACATTATAAAGTCAATTGTATTGTGATGGAGTACTTAATAATATCATTCTAAATCAGAACTGTCTAGACTATTATTATGATGGCAATCTCAACAATTATAATTATTATTATATCAATGATATCTTTGTTAAAAACGTGTAATTATACATTAAACAAGTATTTAAAATGTATTAAGTATTTTAAAATCAACCCTTTTAATTGATCATTAATTATAATTTAAAGTAGTAGAAAATGTATTTGTATTTAAATTGTATTCTAGTTTTTACTTTCTTTGTAGTATTGCAGCCCGCAGGTGTTTGTTTTAATCAGAAGCGAACTAGGCTCCCCTAGGCAAATTCTAACTGAGGCACATATATGTTTCGACGCGGGTTTATTAAATGATGGGACGGTTCTATTAAAAAGAACATTTGTGTATAGCCTTTAAATTTGTCTACTGGGCCGAGGCCTGTGCAGACTACCCTTTTTTAATTCAATGTCAGCGAATGATATAACAATAATGTTGGAGTCGTTATTGATCAATTGAGAATAATTAACAGAGATACAGGCTATCCACAAAAAAAGAAACATAAACATTCTATAAAATATAATTCATAAATTATTGTAATACTCAGATTAATTTTGCTTGCATAATTTCTAAACATATTTGTACATTTCTTCACATTAAAATGCAATTTATACTTAATTATACACGGCGGGTATAACAATTAAAATTCATTGTTTAGTACGATTTGTTAAATTATAAAATTAATCTAATTATTTATGCAACATAAAATCAAAGCTAAGGTGTATCATAAATAAAATGCTGAATAATTTACACGATGACACAAGGTCATTGGTCAGACAAAAGTGATAATAAAATTTGCCTGAAACAAAAGTAAAACATAGTTTTATCGTTTTAATGGTTGGACATAATAATAGTATATCTACTCTGTATTCTCAATATCATCACGCTATAACAACAATACTGCCATTTAACTAAAATAATATTGCCTTAGTTTTAACTTATAATAACTACTATTATTACCTTGATTGTAGTAGTCCCCAAAACACAGCTGTTAATATTTATGCAAC